AGATGGGTTAGATCTATTGGATAGACTAGATTGATGTAAAAGGATGGAGAGGTTAGATAGATTAGATAGATTAGATTCAGGGTTTTACTGATTAGATCGATTAGAGCCTAGCCTAAATGGAATAGGCCGTAGGCAAATTAGATTAGATTTGGTTAGATTAGATTAGATTGGTTTAGACTAGTTCAGATTAGATTAGAGTGAAGTAGAGTAGAGTAGATTAGATGGTTAGCAAGATAAATAGATTGGAACGAATAGAGCGAACAGAAAGAATGGACAACTAGATAGATAAATCACAGACTTGCTGATACACTACTTAAGTATGTGCACGCAGACTTGCTGCTACGCTACTGGCTCGTCTGTTGCATGTGCATCTGCTACGCTACTTGCTCTTCTTTTGCTGCGCAGGCTTGCTGCTTTGCTACTGGCCTGCGCGTATAATTAGCACTGATGTGTATGGCTAAATTCCCCGAAATGTACGAAAAGACAAGCTGCTTGGTATGCAAGCGGATGGCAAGATAGATAAGATAGATACGATAGATACGATAGATACGATAGATACGATAGATAAGATAGATAAGGTAGATAAGATAGATTAGATAGGTAGATAGATATATAGGTAGAAAGATAGAAAGATAGATAGATAGAGAGGACAGATAAGATAGATAAGACAGACAAGATAGATAAGATAGAAAAGATAGATAAGATAGAAAAGATAGGTAAGATAGGTAAGATAGGTAAGATAGGTAAGATAGGTAAGATAGGTAAGATCGATAAGATCGATAAGATCGATGAGATAGATAAGATAGATAGATAGATAGATGGATGGATGGATAGATAGATAGATAGATAGAATAGATTAGATTAGATTAGATCAGATTAGATAGATGGATAGATGGATAGATGGATAGATGGATAGATGGATAGATGGATAGATAGATTGATAGATTGATAGATTGACGGATAACTAGATAGAAGATAGATGTTTGGATCGATGGACGGATAGATAGATAGATGCGTAGACAGATAGGTAGATAGGGAGAATGGTAGATAGGTAGATAGGTAGATAGATGGATGGATAGATAGATAGATAGATAGGTGGATAGACGGATAGATGGATAGGTGGATAGATGGATAGGTGGATAGGTGCGTAGATGGATAGGTGGATAGGTGGATAGATGGATAGATAGATAGATAGATAGATAGATAGATAGATAGACAGATAGATAGACAGATAGATAGATAGATAGGTGGGTAGGCGGATAGACGGATAGATGGATAGGTGGATAGATAGGTGCGATAGATTAGATAGAGAAGATAGATTGAAAAGATTAGAAAGATTATGTAGACTAGATTGACCGGATGGAATAGATAGATTTGATCGGGTAGATAGATGAGATCGATTTGATAGAGTAGATAGGTTAGATGAGGTAGATTAGATCGACTAGGCGGGTTTGATGGATATTGATATAGAGTAGAACAAAATAGAGCAGCATAGAACAGACTAGAATAGAATACGGTTAGATGCATAAGAATGAAATAGGCATAGAAAAAGAGGTAGAAATAGAATCATTTGAAGAATAGAGAAGAAAGATGTCTAGATCGATAAATCAGCTAGACTAGCCAGATTAGCTAGATTAGGTACGCTGGATAGATTAGGTCGATTATATAGAGTATAGGGTGGCTGGATAGATTAGATAGATTAGGTGGAGTAGGTGGGTTAGAAAGATTAGATCGATTAGGCAGGTTAGCTACATGAGGTAGGATTGGTAGTTAGATTGATCAACAGATTAGGACGATTAATCAGATTAGATAGGTGGAAAGCAAGATAGGTAGATAGATTGGTAGACCTGATGGATCGATTGATTGTCAAGTTGGGTTTAGAAAGATCAGCCTAGAAAGATGGACAGACCGATCGATCTATGGATCAATCGATGGATAGATAGATAGATAGCTAGATAGATAGACAGATGGATGGATGGATTGATTATAGATAGATTAGATAGGTTAGATAGATTTGATGGATTAGGTAAAGTAGATCGGTTTGGTAGATTAGATAGATTAGATAGATTGGGTAGAGTAGATTGGCTAGATGGATGAGGTAGAGTAGGTAGATTAGACAAAGTAGATGGGTTAGATCTATTGGATAGACTAGATTGATGTAAAAGGATGGAGAGGTTAGATAGATCAGATAGATTAGATTAGATTCAGGGTTTTACTGATTAGATCGATTAGAGCCTAGCGTAAATGGAATAGGCCGTAGGCAAATTAGATTAGATTTGGTTAGATTAGATTAGATTGGTTTAGACTAGTTCAGATTAGATTAGAGTGAAGTAGAGTAGAGTAGATTAGATGGTTAGCAAGATAAATAGATTGGAACGAATAGAGCGAATAGAAAGAATGGACAACTAGATAGATAAATCACAGACTTGCTGATGCACTACTTAAGTATGTGCACGCAGACTTGCTGCTACGCTACTGGCTCGTCTGTTGCATGTGCATCTGCTACGCTACTTGCTCTTCTTTTGCTGCGCAGGCTTGCTGCTTTGCTACTGGCCTGCGCGTATAATTAGCACTGATGTGTATGGCTAAATTCCCCGAAATGTACGAAAAGACAAGCTGCTTGGTATGCAAGCGGATGGCAAGATAGATAAGATAGATACGATAGATACGATAGATACGATAGATACGATAGATAAGATAGATAAGGTAGATAAGATAGATTAGATAGGTAGATAGATATATAGGTAGAAAGATAGAAAGATAGATAGATAGAGAGGACAGATAAGATAGATAAGACAGACAAGATAGATAAGATAGAAAAGATAGATAAGATAGAAAAGATAGGTAAGATAGGTAAGATAGGTAAGATAGGTAAGATAGGTAAGATCGATAAGATCGATAAGATCGATAAGATCGATAAGATAGATAGATAGATAGATAGATGGATGGATGGATAGATAGATAGATAGAATAGAATAGATTAGATTAGATTAGATCAGATTAGAAAGATGGATAGATGGATAGATGGATAGATAGATAGATAGATTGATAGATTGACGGATAACTAGATAGAAGATAGATGTTTGGATCGATGGACGGATAGATAGATAGATGCGTAGACATATAGGTAGATAGGGAGAATGGTAGATAGGTAGATAGGTAGATAGATGGATGGATAGATAGATAGATAGGTGGATAGACGGATAGATGGATAGGTGGATAGATGGATAGGTGGATAAGTGGGTAGATGGATAGGTGGATAGGTGGAAAGATGGATGGATGGATGGATAGATGGATGGATAGATAGATAGACAGACAGATAGATAGATAGATAGGTGGGTAGGCGGATAGACGGATAGATGGATAGGTGGATAGATAGGTGCGATAGATTAGATAGAGAAGATAGATTGAAAAGATTAGAAAGATTATGTAGACTAGATTGACCGGATGGAATAGATAGATTTGATCGGGTAGATAGATGAGATCGATTTGATAGAGTAGATAGGTTAGATGAGGTAGATTAGATCGACTAGGCGGGTTTGATGGATATAGAGGAGAACAAAATAGAGCAGCATAGAACAGACTAGAATAGAATACGGTTGGATGCATAAGAATGAAATAGGCATAGAAAAAGAGGTAGAAATAGAATCATTTGAAGAATAGAGAAGAAAGATGTCTAGATCGATAAATCAGCTAGACTAGCCAGATTAGCTAGATTAGGTCGATTATATAGAGTGTAGGGTGGCTGGATAGATTAGATAGATTAGGTGGAGTAGGTGGGTTAGAAAGATTAGATCGATTAGGCAGGTTAGCTACATGAGGTAGGATTGGTAGTTAGATTGATCAACAGATTAGGACGATTAATCAGATTAGATAGGTGGAAAGCAAGATAGGTAGATAGATTGGTAGACCTGATGGATCGATTGATTGTCAAGTTGGGTTTAGAAAGATCAGCCTAGAAAGATGGACAGACCGATCGATCTATGGATCAATCGATGGATAGATAGCTAGATAGACAGATGGATGGATGGATTGATTATAGATAGATTAGATAGGTTAGATAGATTTGATGGATTAGGTAAAGTAGATCGGTTTGGTAGATTAGATAGATTAGATAGATTGGGTAGAGTAGATTGGCTAGATGGATGGGGTAGAGTAGGTAGATTAAACAAAGTAGATGGGTTAGATCTATTGGATAGACTAGATTGATGTAAAAGGATGGAGAGGTTAGATAGATTAGATAGATTAGATTCAGGGTTTTACTGATTAGATCGATTAGAGCCTAGCGTAAATGGGATAGCCGTAGGCAAATTAGATTAGATTTGGTTAGATTAGATTAGATGGGTTTAGACTAGTTCAGATTAGATTAGAGTGAAGTAGAGTAGAGTAGATTAGATGGTTAGCAAGATAAATAGATTGGAACGAATAGAGCGAATAGAAAGAATGGACAACTAGATAGATAAATCACAGACTTGCTGATACACTACTTAAGTATGTGCACGCAGACTTGCTGCTACGCTACTGGCTCGTCTGTTGCATGTGCATCTGCTACGCTACTTGCTCTTCTTTTGCTGCGCAGGCTTGCTGCTTTGCTACTGGCCTGCGCGTATAATTAGCACTGATGTGTATGGCTAAATTCCCCGAAATGTACAAAAAGACAAGCTGCTTGGTATGCAAGCGGACGGCAGACACCCGGCCACCCACCCGGCCACCCGGCCACCCGGCCACCCGGCCACCCAACCACCCGGCCACCCGGCCACCCGGCCACCCGGCCACCGGCCACCCGGCCACCGACGACACACCCGACCACTGGCCACGGCCACCCGGCCATCCGGCCAGCCGGCCATCCGGCCATCCGGCCAGCCGGCTATCCCAACCACCCAGCCGGCCACGGCCACGGCCACGGCCACGGCCACGGCCACGGCCACGCACGGAAAAAAGCAATCCTCGAATTTTTGTTGGTGAAATCCCTTGAAGAAAATCTGGAAAGAACTTGGCAGGTTTGGAGGGAATCCTGTCTGGATGAAGCTTGCGCTTTCTTGCCAGAGGCAGGAGGCGATAGTCGATGATAGATATAGGACGAACATTAATAGTAGTTTGTGTGTAGTGGGGATTTAATATGGATGGGGAGACACAGTGGTGAAATGGGTATGCTGGTGAGTAGTATGTTACTATATGTCAGTGTGTTTCCTGTTTCCATTTCTAACATGCCTACGACGACCGGTACATCTCAACATTCCGCGTTGTTTTTGATGAACACCTATGATACCATATGGATAGTGATAGTGATGAACATCCATAACTATCCAGAGCTATCCACAACTAGCATCCTCAAGTGGGACATTTTTCAACGAGGACGAGGGGCTTAGAATCCATGCTTTGAGGCGCGCTGGAGGGCCAGCTGTGACTGCGCCTTCAGTTGGGTCGCGCCCAATTGGGAGGAGGAGATGAAGTCAGGGTGGGGATGTGGGGTGGGCCTTGATGGTTTTTTTCATGCAAACCATGGAGGAATGACATCATCTCTATGATATCTTCATCTTAATTGCACAAACTTGACTTTGTTGCAAGGGACCCAGGGATGTAGGGTATCTAAGATGAGGTATATACAGTATGTCTACCCACATTTCGATGGTTTTCCCGGGGATAACACCCACTGGCACAGGACACCAGCCCAAACTTGGCTTGAATTGGCACTGACTATTCTGTTCTTGGAGTAAATTTGGCATATACATGGCTGGGTCATGAAATGGAGACCAACAAACCTGAAGATTCGGAAGGCAAAGCGGAAAACGCCGCAAAGACAGGGGCTGTGACATGTGAACCCCTCAGGAACCACAACCCCAGCCTGGCGCCACAGGAGGAGGAGCTGAATGACGCCCCGCCCGAGGACAAAGTGCCCCTGCGCGCCACGGAGCATGGGACCGCTTCCGCGAGCGCGGGGACGATGGGCTCCGTGCAGCTCGCAGCTCGGCGGCGACCCGAAAGGACTAAGGCAACTAAGGGGTTCTAAAGCAGAAGCATCATCAACCTCAAACTCAAGCTGATGCTTTTGAAGATGTGTTTACTGTAAATGTTCAACCTTTCGTTTTCCTCCGATGTTATGACATGGGATGATCGAAGTGTACGAGTGAGCAGTATTTTCATAGGGTAGGTTGAAACCCTCCAATCGGATTTCGGCCTCTTGTGGCCGATCTTCCAACTTGATGTGCTGATGACCCAGTGGGACCAGCACAAAGTGATCGCAAGTGGTTCAACCAACGGTTTATTTGATTGCACTTCAAACGTCAAAAGTCCAAAGAGGTAAGAAAAACCTTGTGGGCCTCTGCCCATGGCAGGGTCTGCCTACCCACTTTGTGTAGAGAGAAAGTACCCACCAAGTGATGCTAGCCATTCATTGAGGTCTGGGGTAATTGGATGGACACGACTGCTTGGATCACATGAGATCACATCGTTCAAGGTGATGCTGGCCGATGGCGGCACCGTGCTATGGACCCTAGAGTGGAACGATATCTCCGCGCCGATGAAGACAAGTCAAGAGGCGCGTCCACCTGGGGATTTCCCCGATGCCGTCATTGGCAACAGGAAGACCACGATCGGTCGGAAAGCCCAAAAAATCATTGGCCTTTCACGATGCAGAAACATCTTCGAAGGGTAACATCATTTGTAAATGGTTTCAAATGGATTCAAACGGGTGATTTTCCATTGCCAGCTTAGACTACGGGATGGATTTGCAACATTATGTCCTTAAATATCCGTGACGTTCCTTGACTTAATCGTTCTAGTGTGATCACCAAGTCCGTGATTGCCCTGGGAAGAATTCCTGGGTAACCAGAGAGATTCCTGGAGGGCCCATCGGAGCGGACAATGAGATGCTAAGAGGCTGCTATGACTCATCAACTTTAACGCGGGCTCATGATTCACAGGCTTGCTCCCCAAAACATTCCCAAATTCATCGACAATCTAGCATGCAAATCCAAACCACTGAAGTGAACAAGATCCCTTCAGCATGATTATCAGCCTTGGCGACTATTTTCAGTCTCAGCTCTCGCTTGTCACTTGGTGCATCCCAGGAACAGGTGGTACTGTACGTATCATAAACATAATTGGCAATGCATTCAGCAGGCACGCGCACAGGTGATATTCGATAGATCATGTTAGGTTACAGGGATCATGGTACATTAGTTGTGAAGTTCACGCGCGCGGATCAGGTTACGTAATCAGAAGGGTTGTTATTTTATGCGCAACCCGCTCTTGATGCCACCCTCTTAAGCAACTTGCAACATGCTCTTGATGCTACGCTCTCAACCTTCTTAAGCAAACATTTGTTCCCAGCAGTTTTCCACGACGCTTGTATCATGGAATCAAGACACAAAAACATCCAGAACTTCATAAGTTCCTTTGCGGATACTGTTGGCGACAATCCTTAGGTCCACTGACGCTTGAGGAATTTCTGAAAGAAATCTGCAAAGCAGTGAAGGCATGCAAATGCTTCTGAGACGAGCAGAAAATGTGCTTCAGCAACCCCAAGTGAAGAAATGACATGCAAGAAAAAAGTAGGTCTTCCAAGTTTACAAAAGGCTGTTTTTTTCCAGACAACAAGTTGAACAGTGATGTGACGAAAACGACTATATCATTTATGTTGACCTGCTCACCAAACCACACGACTAATTGTGGGTCGGGAACCGTGCAGTTTTTGTCCAGTTAGAATTCCTGGGATTTCGCCATTTAGGGTAAGCATTTCCGATTTTTTGGCTCCTGACTCCTGACCATTCAGTTTCTAGAATGACACACTCGCCTCCACTGACATCATGGTTTTTACACTTGGAGAACCATGACCTGTATATATCGTACCTATGGATACCTACTTGGTGGTTCATCCCACTTAGTAAGTGGGTTATAACCCCAGTTATAAATGGGATAAGTAGGGTTAATCCACTTATAACTGGGGTTATAACCCACTTACTAAGTGGGATGAACCACCAAGTATGGTATATCATTGGGGATCTTCCATGGGCCATGGGTTGTAACCCATCAAGGGTCACTCCACCATGCCTCAGGTTCACCGAAGCCCCTGCACAGCTGTGGCTGGCCGCAGCTTCTGTGAGAGTGGCATCTTCGGTTACGGAGGCGCGGAAGGGACACGGTGCGGGCGGTGCACTTCGCCACTTTTCGACGCTTGGGTTTTGACATGTTTGAAACAAGAAATGGGTCACAACCACAGAGAACAAACACAATTGGTTGATCAACATCCCAACATAGACCATTCCATGACCATTTTTGGGATGCGACGTAGAGGATTTCAGGGTTTTGAATGGTTTTGACATGTTTTGAGCCATTTCCAAATGTCCCACTTTTTGGATGTTTGAGCCCTACACTTTCACAAGGTTCTTGGAGATGAACGTAAATAATGGGACATTTCGGGACCAAAAAAGAGGACCTCAAATCTTGTCATGGTTGGGAAGGTCTCCAAATGTTGGGAAACACCAATGTGATCTTACATGTAAGCAAATAGAATTTGGGCTTGGCTTCAACCCGACCCATTTGAAGCGCCGTTTGGTGCTTCAAGGTCTGTTGGATATGAGTTGATCATGACTGTGCTGACCAATTGCCAGAGCCCTCTCCAGCCAAAAGACAAAGTCGTGCCTTTTTTTTTTAAAGAAATGACTATAGTTGCAGCGAAGCTTTCCCTGGAAGTCGTGCCTTTTTGCAAAACGCAGGGGAACTCTGGTGATCTCAGCGCGACCATGGTTTTTCGTGTTTTAGTGTTTTTTCTTGCGTTCAGGTTGGCTTTAGGTATCTACTTATGCTTAGGTCGTATGTAATGTTTGTTGCGTTCAGGTGGGGGAAACTGAGTTTGGTGCAGCTGCTTTCTTATCAGTCACTTTTCGTTGTTCAAAATTTCACCGTTATATATATATATACACATTTATTTAGCAACTATTGTTAAACTGCTTCTCAAGTGCTGGCTGCTGCTCAGCTGCTGCTCAGCTGCTGCTCAGCTGCTGCCGCTGGCTACTGCCAAATTTCTGAACTACTGCACTAACAGAGTGTAGGAGTAGGAGTAGTAGCAGTAGCAGTAGCAGTAGGTAGCAGGTAGCGGTAGTAGCGGTAGTAGCGGCAGTGGTAGTGGTAGTGGTAGTGGTAGTGGTAGTAGATGGTAGTGGTGGTAGTAGTAGATGGAAGTGGTGGTGGTGGTAGTAGTAGTAGTACTACTACTGCTACTGCTACTGCTACTGCTGCTGCTGCTGCTACTGCTACTGCTACTCCTACTACCACTACCACTACCACTACCACTACCACCCCTCCTGCTGCTGCTACTGCTACTGCTACTGCTACTGCTACTCCTACTACCACTACTACGACGACTAGTACTACTACCACTGCTACTACTACTGCTACTACTACTACTGCTGCTGCTGCTACTGCTACTGCTACTGCTACTCCTACTACCACTACTACGACGACTAGTACTACTACTACTACTACTACTGCTACTGCTACTGCTACTGCTGCTGCTGCTGCTACTGCTACTGCTACTGCTACTGCTACTGCTACTGCTGCTCCTACTACCACTACTACTGCTACTACTGCTGCTGCTGCTGCTACTACTACTACTCCTACTCCTACTCCTACTCCTACTGCTACTGCTACTGCGACTACCACTACTACGACGACGACGACTACTACTACTACTGCTGCTACTACTACTGCTGCTGCTGCTGCTACTACAGCTACTGCTACTGCTACTGCTACTGCTACTGCTACCACTATTTTTTTTTGGTCCTTTGCCAACTTAAAAAATTCATCTTCTGTTCACCTTCCGGTTTGGTGCTTGCACCAATCACTTCAAGCTCCAGGTGTGCTGCTGGTGCGCCAGGGCCGCGAGAAGATTTGGGATGTTTGGCTCTGCTCGCCAGGTGCGAATGATTCAATGGGCTCCACCAGGATTTCTTAGGGGGCTTTGATGTTCCTTTTTTTTGGGCAGGTGTAGTGCATAAATTAGTCCTAAAATTGGCGTAAAATGACCAAACCATACCAAACCCTATGGTTTTTCGGGCCAATTTGATCTAAATCAAGCTCATATGATATCATAGTGGCATTTGTTGTTTTTGTTGGGGGGTAGATGTTGGTAGAACTACAACCGCCACTTTTCTCTATGGGACCATGCCTGCCCTCGATGGCTGAGCGCCCAAATCTTGAATCATCATTTTCCCTCGAAAGTATTCAGAATGGACATCACTTCATAGTGGGTTTTAAAATGTTTTTAAACAATTTAAATTTAACATTATGCAGTTTCAACCCGTGTTCACCATTTTTTTAAACCAATTAACAATCTATTTAAAACTAAAAACCAATGAATAACCAATAATAACAATATATTCATTGTTTATTATTATTGATTGTTCATAGATTGTTCATATTATCAATAGTCAATTAAGAACTAATGTTGACCAGCAATTGATATCACTATTACTCAATTACCATCTGGTTACTTAACATAACCATGTAAAAGCACCATTTTTAATAGGTAAACCATCTATAAATGGGCCATTTCCCATGGCTATGTTAAATAACCAGAGGGTAATTGTTCATACTACAATATTAGTAATATGATAAGCGGCTGAGGCGGCGATCTTCAACGGCTGCGCTTGGAGACGAACCTTTGGACGCCTGTGTCAGTGGCAGGAGACCTGGGTCTCCTGTTCCAAGAAATTGGGGGTTGATGCGGGTAAAATTAGTGTGATGGGGACTATGGATATTTTATTTGAGGATAAACTATGTTAAAACGAATTATGATCAAATATATAGGGATAGAATGTCAGTGGTTGATCAACTCTTAGCTCATGGAATGATGGGAATTGAATTCAGGATGCTGAAACCATGTCAAGTGACATCCCAGGAGCCCTGATTCCCCCGGCCGAGGCGGGATTTGGCCGCGAAGTCCTTGTTGAAACTTCTTCTATCACCAAAAACCAGGTTAAGTAATCTGGTTGGTGGTTTCAAACATTTTTTATTTTCCATAATATATGGGATAATCCTTCCCATTGACTAATATTTTTCAAGATGGTTAAAACCACCAACCAGTAATAGGCTGGGGATACTTTTTGATATCAGAAACTCAAGAACTACAAGAAGCAGCAGGCTTATCCCGCCAGTCCTTGTCCAAATTGGTGCCAGCGGGGTACACCACCTTGAGAGTCAACCCTTTATTTAGGACCCAAATTTTGGGACAGACTGAAACATGTCTCCCCAACAGCCAGAACTGCCTGGGTCTCCAGTTTGAGGCACATCGTGTGGTGTCGATGGCAGTGCATCACGATTGGGGCTTTGTGGCAGTCTTGCTTGAGGCGACACAAGGCGCAGCGCCCGCGCGAACTTTTCTTTTTCCTATGAGAGCCTGGACCAAACGGGATGAACATTCATGAATACCAGCTGTTTCGATGTGAACAGCAGGGGATTCCATCATATTCCATCGGTTCACTGACCCAACATGACCCAACCCCCCAGCTAGTTGTGCCACTGGAAAACCATCGGACCA